TTACAAATTTTAAATGTGCAAGGATATGCAAAATGAAACAGTTTTTGTTTTCAAGGTTGTGAAATCTTTCTCAAAAGTTTAAACCTCAATTTACAAAATCCTCGATTTACATCGATCATCATGAAATTGCATTGGAACTTTGGCTTGATCTATTGCCTTCAAGAGTTATGTTGATGATGTTTTCAGTAAGGTTTTCTACGTCATAACTATCTTCTGCATAAACTAAGCATAGAAAAACCAAACATTAAAAATCATTCAAATTATGAGAAGTTTACCAAAATAATTATGAAACAAAATAAAACAATAGTACTATACCATACTTTTATTAAGTATAAACATAAGATTTTGTGGTATCCACTAGTGTAAATATTTGAAATTGAAGATTGAATTCAATCATTGTATTCATATAAGGTCAAGGAGTGTAGTTGTAAAAAATCATCAAAATCGGAGTTAAATTAACCGTTAAATCGTGATTTTTCGTTTATAACCGTCGAAAAGTTTTGTCCCGTTACGTGCTCTCTGAATGTTTGTTTTTTGCAATTTTTGGTGTATGCGATCTCGAAATATATACAAACATGTTTGATGGTTGGATCATTGAAACTAGTTTCGTAGAATGAGTATCCCATCAAAACAATAGATTTACTAATACTTAAGAGTTTATTCATACTTTTATTAAGTATAACATAAGATTTTGTGGTTTCCACTAGTGTAAATATTTTAAATTGAAGATCAAATTCAATGATTGTATTCATATAGGGTCAAGGAGTGTAGTTGTAAAAAATCATCAAAATCGGAGTTAAAATCACCGTTAAATCGTGATTTTTTGTTTCTAACCGTCGAAAAGTTTTGTCCCGTTACTTGATCTCTGAATGTTTGTTTTTTGCAATTTTTGGCGTATGCAATCGCGAAGTATATATAAACATGTTTGACGGTTGGATCATTGAAACTAGTTTCGTAGAATGAGTATCCCATCAAAACAATAGATTCACTAATACTTAATAGTTTATTTATACTTTTATTAAGTATAATATAAGATTTTGTGGTATCCACGAGTGTAAATATTTTAAATTGAAGATCAAATTCAATCATTGTATTCATATAGGGTCAAGGAGTGTAGCTGCAAAAAATCATCAAAATCAGAGTTAAAATGACCGTTAAATCGTGATTTTTCGTTTATAACCGTCGAAAAGTTTTGTCCCATTACTTGATCTCTGAATGTTTGTTTTTTTTAATTTTTGACGTATGCGATCTCGAAGTATATACAAACAATAGATTCGTAAAATGAGTATCCCATCAAAACAATAGATTCACTAGTACTTAATAGTTTATTCATACTTTTATTAAGTATAATATAAGATTTTATGGTATCCACTAGTGTAAATATTTTAAATTGAAGATCGAATTCAATCATTGTATTCATATAGGGTCAAGGAGTGTAGCTGCAAAAAATCATCAAAATCAGAGTTAAAATGACCGTTAAATCGTGATTTTTCTTTTTATAACCGTCGAAAAGTTTTGTCCCGTTAATTGATCTCTGAATGTTTGTTTTTTTTTATTTTTGACGTATGCGATCTCGAAGTATATACAAACATGTTTGACGGTTGGATCTTTGAAACTAGTTTCGTAGAATGAGTATCCCATCAAAACAATAGATTCACTAATACTTAATAGTTTATTCATACTTTTATTAAGTATAACATCAGATTTTGTGGTATCCACTAGTGTAAATATTTTAAATTGAAGATCGAATTCAATCATTGTATTCATATAGGGTCAAGGAGTGTAGTTGTAAAAAATCATCAAAATCGGAGTTAAATTAACCGTTAAATCGTGATTTTTCATTTATAACCGTCGAAAAGTTTTGTCCCGTTACTTGCTCTCTGAATGTTTTTTTTTTTGCAATTTTTGGCGTATGCGATCTCGAAATATATAAAAACATGTTTGACGGTTGGATCATTGAAACTAGTTTCGTAGAATGAGTATCCCATCAAAATAATAGATTCACTAATACTTAAGAGTTTATTCATACTTTTATTAAGTATAACATAAGATTTTGTAGTATTCACTAGTGTAAATATTTTAAATTGAAGATCGAATTCAATCATTGTATTCATATAAGGTCAAGGAGTGTAGTTGTAAAAAATCATCAAAATCGGAGTTAAATTAACCGTTAAATCGTGATTTTTCGTTTATAACCGTCGAAAAGTTTTGTCCCGTTACTTGATCTCTGAATGTTTGTTTTTTGCAATTTTTGGCGTATGCGATCTCGAAGTATATATAAACATGTTTGACAGTTGGATCATTGAAACTAGTTTCGTAGAATGAGTATCCCATCAAAACAATAGATTCACTAATACTTAATAGTTTATTCATACTTTTATTAAGTATAATATAAGATTTTGTGGTATCCACTAGTGTAAATATTTTAAATTGAAGATCGAATTCAATTATTGTATTCATATAAGGTCAAGGAGTGTAGCTGCAAAAAATCATCAAAATCAGAGTTAAAATGACCGTTAAATCGTGATTTTTCTTTTTATAACCGTCGAAAAGTTTTGTCCGGTTAATTGATCTCTGAATGTTTGTTTTTTGTAATTTTTGACATATGCGATCTCGAAGTATATACAAACATGTTTGACGGTTGGATCTTTGAAACTAGTTTCGTAGAATGAGTATCCCATCAAAACAATAGATTCACTAATACTTAATAGTTTATTTATACTTTTATTAAGTATAACATAAGATTTTGTGGTATCCACTAGTGTAAATATTTTAAATTGAAGATCGAATTCATTACTTGTATTCATATAGGGTCAAGGAGTGTAGTTGTAAAAAATCATCAAAATTGGAGTTAAAATAACCGTTAAATCGTGATTTTTCGTTTATAACCGTCGAAAACTTTGTCCCATTACTTGATCTTTGAATGTTTGTTTTTTGCAATTTTTGGCGTATGCGATCTTGAAGTATATACAAACATGTTTGACGGTTGGATCATTGAAACTAGTTTTGTAGAATGAGTATCCCATCAAAACAATAGATTCACTAATACTTAAGAGTTTATTCATACTTTTATTAAGTATAACATAAGATTTTGTGATATCTACTAGTGTAAATATTTTAAATTGAAGATCGAATTCAATCATTGTATTCATATAGGGTCAAAGAGTGTGGTTGTAAAAAATCATCAAAATCGGAGTTAAAATGACCGTTAAATCGTGATTTTTCGTTTATAACCGTCGAAAAGTTTTGTCCCGTTACTTGCTCTCTGAATGTTTGTTTTTTGCAATATTTGGCGTATGCGATCTCGAAGTATATACAAACATGTTTGACGGTTGGATCGTTGAAATTAGTTTCGTATAATTCGTATCCCATGAAGTTCAATGGTGTGTGTGTGTGTATATATATATATATATTTATTTATTAAGTAGATTTAAATCTATTTATTTTGTATGTATAATTATTATAGTTTTTAGGGGTATAAAATTTAATATATATATATATATAATTATTATAGTTAATATTTTGGGTATAATTATTATAGTATATATAATTATTATAATTATTATAGTTAATTTAATATATATATATATATAATTATTATAGTTTTTAGGGGTATAAAATTGTTAAATTAATATATAATATATATATATATAATTATTATAGTATTTTTTTAGGGTTATAAATTATTAAATTAATATTCTGCTTATCGTGTATCGTGTTACCCACGTGTATACCCGAACAAACCCGTTATCTTAACATGTGTTTATCGGGTTACCCGATAACGACCCGTTTCGTTATCGTGTCGACCCGAACACCTGTTAATTTCGTGTCGTGTCGTGTCGAGTTATCGGATCGTGTCAGGAATTGCCAGGCCTAGCCGCCACTGCCTACACAGTTATGTAAACTAATCAAGGGGCGACTAAGATAAGATAGCAACATTCTGTTTTATTTGCCTTTAATAATAAGCACAAATCCATTTGTCGTCTTACGAAAAAAAGTCTAACGTGTCTAAATCCATCAATCAGACGAAGGGATGGGAATTACCACTTGAAAACCAAGTACATTTTTTGTCACATTAAAACCAAGTAATTATCCATAAATAACTACCGGTGTATCGGCAGACAAAATAAATGTATGGAAATCACTTCTTGTTTATTTGTCTCAAAGGTATTGGATGATGACACTTTTAGAGCGGGAATTATTATAGTTAAAAAAAACAGATAATTAAAAACAATTGGAAATACTATATTGACATACTTATTTTTCTAATTCGACGGAAGTTATTGTGAAAAATTAATTAATATTTACGAAATGATTTACAATTGAACATGTTTACATTGACCAGGACTTTAAGTTTAGTGTTTACTGTTAGTGTTGTAGAACAATGTTCGAGTTATAATTTCTTCAAGTCCCACATTCATGGTGGGAGAAAACTTGTAGTGGTTTATAAGTTTTAAATTAACATCCATATTAAAATGAATTAAGTGCATGTGAGGAGACCCGCGTAGTTTATGCTTAATGTATAAATTTAATTAATCAAAGAAAAGCCTTAATGACTTAGTTAAGTTTTTAATTCAGAGATTCATTTATTTTTTAATTTTTTGATTAATTCAAAACAGTTATATGGTCTGCTTGATCAAATAGTTACATATGTTCTGAAAAAAGCATTAGAATGCCTATATACCTTAAACTTTGTTTATAGCTAGTTGAATCATGGTAGAGAACATTTGTACATAGAGTTACAAACATTGAGTAAGGACAAAATTTTGTTTCAAGAACATTGCAAATCGGCAAGCCTCTATCTGCAAAATTCCCTCAGGTCATTACATTTTTATAATTTTGTTTTATGTGATTATATATCATATATGTTTGTATAATTTTATTATAGTAGAATTTATATTCAATAAAATTAATCTTACTGGTTGGTACTCCCGCCAATTTTTACTTCCATTGGTGATTGTCGTTTTGCTTCTCTTTTTCTTTTCCTACATAAACCATAATTAAACTAATGGAAGTTCAATGGAAGCTACCTGCATGTAGAATCTGCAACTCTACTAGTCTTCTTCTTTGAAGTTTCTGGCTTTGCCCCTAGAAATTCTCAAGGAGAAAAGGGGTTTTGGTTTACTATATATACTTATATATGTGTGTGTGTGTGTGTGTTTCTAATCTGGCTTTGTTTAACTCCTCAAAAGCTTGCCCTTGTTTCTATGAATCAGAGCTGGTATGTCCACTAATACTAAAACCCTAAGTAGCAATTATTCCGGCGAAGACGATAGTGAGCTTAGGAGAGGGCAATGGATTCTTGAAGAAGACAGTCTTCTTATTCAGTACATAGAGCGCCATGGCGAAGGCCAGTGGAACTTGCTTGCCAAACGTTCAGGTAACCGTACGTAACCAATTTGCATGCTGGTGACTATGGCTACGAGTATTTTATGGTCTTTTTTTTTTGCCTTCTTTTTTGGTTAATTATATTTCTTAATTTGTTGGTTAATTATACAGGATTAAGGAGAACTGGCAAAAGTTGCAGATTGAGATGGTTGAATTATCTGAAACCCGACGTTAAGCGAGGCAATCTTAGTCCTGAAGAACAGCTCTTGATTCTTGACCTCCACTCAAAAATGGGCAATAGGTGAGCTAGCTACGTCATTCAACACCCCAAATTCATTGCCGCTTTTAATTCGAGCGATGTTCTAATCTAATATAAACAAACGCAGAGGGGCATTCAGTTTCTTTACATCTTAAAGAAGCCTTTTTCATGCAGAGTTTATTAAAACTTAGCATTTATAGTGTGGTGCCTTTAGGTCTTAAATTATAGAAAAATAGTTATATTTCCTTTTGTGATCGCAGGTGGTCGAAAATCGCACGGTATTTACCGGGAAGAACAGACAATGAAATCAAGAACTATTGGAGAACAAGGTACACAAACAAGCCCGGCATCTCAACATCGACACGAAAAGCAGGGAGTTTCAAAATATGATAAGGTGCTATTGGATGCCTAGGTTGAAGCAGAAGATAGGACGAGAAACCTCGATTTCTTCAGCTGTGTTAAACCAAAATCCTACGATTTCTCAGCCTCGAGAAAACAACACTTTCCAACATTTTACGGCAACAATATCCCCGCCACCACAAATCCTTGTGCAGGAAGAAATTAATATGAGTGGAACAATGTACAATTTGGATGTCGAAAAGCAAAACACAGAGGCAGATTACTGCAGAAGTTCGTTCATTTTCCCCTCAGAACCAATGGACATGTCGAAGACTGCGCAATTTCCGGAATGCCCTCCTTTCTATTGTGGTGACAACAATGGCTACGACATGGAATCCTTCAATCTGCAGGAATCTGTGTCAGCAGACTCAGCACCAAATTTCCCTGGAAATTCCGCCGGCGATTGCTACGTGGCAGAAAACAACTGGTTTGACAGTGATTTTTTCATGTAGCATGTGGAACATGGATGAAATGTGGCAAAATAGGAAGTTGTGACTCATACAAATTAGTTTATAGATCATTTCATCAAGTGTTAAGCAGCTAATTTTCTACCCAACACACAAAATTGTGCAAGTTGTTGATATGAATTTTTTTTAATGCAAATACTGTTAGTACTGAAAATGGTATGGTTATGAGACGAGCACTAAGGCTCCGAGTTCACTTTGTCTTCGGGTGCAGTTTCATATATTTTTACAGCTTCAACCTACTTGGTTCTTGAATAAAAATAAAATAAAATATATCTGCCTCTGGCCCGTCTTTGGCGTTGGGTTTGGTGTTGAATTCATTCTTGAAAAAATAAAATATATCTGCCTACAGCAATTGGTCTCTTTCATCTCAATTCCTGTTTACTTTATTTGGTGTTGAATTTTTGCCCTAAAATGCTGTAGTCGTCGTGATAGCCCTCACATTTTGGCCCACAAACACAATTAACACAAGACTTTGGGTCCATGTATCACCCTCGATATTAGGTTGAAGCTAGGGAAGATATCAAATTGCATCGGGCTCAGTTTAGCCATAACGACAATTTAGGTTTAGTCGATGTGGCGATATGGCTTTTCGATGCCCGGAGATTATAAAGCGGTGACACAATTTTATCTTTTTATTTTAGTTATGTTTAATAATTTCCAAGAATGGTCTTGGAGTTTGGTTTGATTTCTTTCTTTAGGAGTGCGTGCTTGTTTGATTGCTCTCTACAAAAGAGTTGCTTGATTTTCCTTTTCGTTTTGGTGTGCAACCTCTTTTGGATCCAAGTGTTAAGGATGAAGCTGTTTGATTTACTGGATCTATTTCACTTGTATTTTGGGATCATGGTGGTGAATAGGTGGTGATCCACCTATGGGCATCGTACTCTATGTCTCAATAATATGATTTGAGATTTTGTTCTCATATGATCTCATGTAACACGAAGTTTAATGGTTTTGTTGATCTATGTAAATTTTGTGGTTCCTAATGTTCTCGAACAAGTGCTTCAAGTCTACCCATTACTTTGTGATAAGTGATGTTTATTGTAATATGTCTAGATCTAGTTTGCAAATACCCTTTTGAAGCCAAGTACTTCATAATATATTTTTATAATGTCATTTTATCAATAAATAACATATCGCACTCTTCCTTAAAAAAAACCTACATGGTTTTATAAATGTAAACGTAGCCAGGCTTCAAATTTTCTTCCTCGACCAATTAATGGGACGGTGGAGAAATCGTGACTAAATTAGTCAATTTGAGGAAGCAATATCTTCTTCTTGCAGCAATGCTTTGATTTAAGACTAGCCAGTCAAGTGGGTCAAAGAGACTCCACCAACCATGAAGCACTAGAAAATTAATGCAACTGAGAAAAAAAAAAAAGTTGCAACCTATCTTAAAAGGGAAGGGAACTTCCCTACACTTGAGATGACATAGTGATGGTAGTCCGTAATAATGATACCGAATAATTAAAAAACAAATGTCAGTGCATGATTGATTTGAAATACTTCCACATATTATAGCACATCAAACATGCTAATATTTGGTCTTTCCCTCTCATCATTGATTATAGCTAATACAAAACGGAAAGGGATCATTTCTGGATGTCTTCTAAGTTATACCTAATCCTTCTCATTAAACAATTGAGACCCTTGAAATTTGATCCAACGATTAAAATTATTATAACTTTTAGAGTGGACCCGCATTTTTAGCCGTTGGATCAAATTTCAAGGGCCCAAATTGTTTAATGAGGAGGATTGGATGGAAGGGATCCAGAAATGATCCATTCTAACACAAAACTATGACAAGTTTTCTTATTCATTAAAGTATAGATAGTGTAATTGGTTTATTAGTAGAATCTTTTTTTTTTTATTTCACAAATTGGAAAAGGACTACTAGGCATGACAATTTCCATGATTACCAACTGGAAAGTTAGTCAGAAAAGAACTCCCAAAACTTATGTTGACTCTTCTCCTCACCAGTTCAAATGTGCGTCCGACTGTTACGTTCAGCATTTTTTCTTTTGTCAAATTAAGCGTTGTTTTTGTGCAATTTGTACAATATAAGCCTTTTACGACGACATAAAAAACAACAATATTTGAATTTGATGCAGATCAAGTACCAAATAATTTTCCTTATATGTCCCTAAAACTTGATCATGTGCATTGTCAGTGATGAACAAAAATTGTGAGAACACTAAGATACCGTTTGGTACGTGAGATGTGACGGAACGCAGTGAGACGGGATGCACTCGTCCCACGTTTGGTGCGCCAATTTGCATGGGACGCGCTGTCCCATGGAACGGATTTTATTCAATTTTTTGTGCCACCCTCCCCCTGGAACGACTTGTTCCAGCCCAAGGAACAAAATATCGATATTATCGACGAAATATCGCCGATATTGTCGTTTTTTAGATACAGATATTTTCACACTTAACCCTTAATTATCGTCCATATATCGCAATATTATCGATAATATCGTAAATATTACAATATTATCGCTAAGGGTAATTATTTTCTGGTATGCTTTTAAGTTTGGGCTGATGGTCCATTTTATAATCCCTCCACCAGCTTCTTCTTTATGACTTGGGCGATGTGGGACAACAGTGGTCCATTTTATAATCCCTCCACCAGCTTCTCTTTATGCCTTGGGCGATGTGGGACAACAGCAACAACTCTAATTTTGTTCTAGTGGTGGTTCCTCGTCTGGCTCGCGTTCTTCCGGTTCTACTTCTAGAGCTTATAATTTTGTTCTAGGTTTCTCGGTGCTGCACATGTTGGACTGCCTCATTTCTCTCCTTTTGATAGCTTTACTGGAGGGAAGATTCAATGCCAAATCTGCCGGCGTTTGGTCACACAGCGATTGACTGCTTCAATCGCCTGAACATGTCCTATGAGGGATGTGTTCCATCATCATGTTTCACTGCTTATGCTGCCAGTTCATCTGCTCCCCGTACTGCTGCTCCTCCGCCACCTACAACTTGGCTCTTAAACTCTAGAGCCAACACCACATAACCAATGATGCTGCTTAGATCACAAATCATCCTTAAATAATACATGGGTTCTGATCATGTAAATGGTTTCAATGGGTGCAGGTTTGAACATCTCTCATATTGCAATTAGTTTATTCTGATATATGAAGTTATTCAAATTTATCTGTTTCTAGATTCCGTTATTATGACATATATTCATTGACGATTTTTCGCGGTACACTTGTGGCGTCTTTGATTACCAAAACATAATCATGTACTATGTCTATATGATTTTGTATTAACACGTTGGATAAGAATATCACTCAAAATTTTGATATGGCTTTCAAAATTGACCAAACAGTTTTCTTTTTTCTCGAAACTAGATGATGTAAAATGTGATTAACCAAATTATTATTATTTAAAAAAAATAAAGAAAAATTAGTATCCAATCCCTAGTTTCTAATGTTCATTGACTAAGATCTTATCAGTTTTTATATTTTGATCAAAGTCCCTAGCATTAATGAATTACATGTAAGTTACATAACTTTCATAACAAAAATTAGTAATTGATTTAGAGTTTTAATACTCACATTCTTATTAAACTTCTAATTAATTTTCAATTCAAACATTTCAAATATATAAAAAATAAAATAAGAATAAGTTTGTACCCATTAATTTTTATAAAAAAATTGATATGTACCCGTTATAAGAATAAGTCACTCATGTATCTTACCATGCAATGTATAAAGTGTAAAATATTGTACTAATTCATTATATATAAATGATTATGGTGTGTTTAAACTTCTTTCATTAATTACTACATATTTTCTACACTCACAATGTTTGCCAGCTCACTATATAATCAACTTAAATCAGTTAAATCCATCATGCAATGCATTTCCTTCTAATTTTTTGTGATAAACTAATAGATAATTGACTAAATAAAAACATCCTGCAAAGTTTCATTAAAAATTTCCAAGTTTTTCTTACAATTTCCGTGGTTTCCATGTAATTTTTATCGATATCGATATTATCCCGATATTTCCATTGATATTTCCGTGTTTTCGGACTACCGATATTTCTGATATTACCGATATTTTCTTCCTTGTTCCAGCCCATGGAACACAAAATTATAACTTTTTGGACAATAATAACCCTCATATTTTTCATTAATTTCACTATCTACCTCTCTCTCCTGTAGCCTCCCTCTCTTACCGTCCCTTTCTCCTGTAGCCTCCTCCATCTCCACCACAAACCCAACAACCTAGGCTAAGCCAATCCTAGTAAACCCATCTGAATCCAACCACACCTTCCTCCCGCCGCCTCCTTCCTCCCTGCTAGTCCCATGACGAGACCGTTGCCCTCGGCCGCGAAAACCTCAGGACCACCCACTCGCAGGATGTGGCCAGCGCCATCGCTCGACGGATGGGACGGTGAGGATTAGGTGGAAGATGTGAGAGATGACGTTGAACTCTTCGGCGGTGACTCAGGTAAGGTCGAACTCGTCAGAGTGGATGGGTATGATTGTCATTTAGTCCGTCGTTCCATCCCGGCCTGAGCATACACCAAACGTAGCATGGAACCTCAGTTCCGTCCCGTCTGCGTACCAAACGATATTGGTTGGGGGAGAATTAGAAATATTTAAGTTTAGGGCCTCAATACAAAATGATAGTTCTGAGGGCCTTTTGTAAAAGCCCGTTGGGTTAAGTTTGTCGTTTGGATGTTGGGCTTTCAGCCCAATATTTTACTATACAGTACTCCAGGGCTATTCATAACCGTTCATTTATACGATTCATCATCCAACCGTCCGTTCTATCTCGTTAAAGCTTTTTTATTCGCCATCCTTAGGGTTTCTCTGTACCCGCCGAAGCCAGAGCTGTAGGGTTTTCTGTCACTCAAAAGCAAAAGTCGCTCCGGCTCTCGATTCTCCTTGAGGTAAACCCTAAATCTCTAATCCCCATTTTATCTTCCTCAATTCGTTCTATTACGTTCGATTCACTGCTCGACTGATTGCTTAGTGTGAGAAAGTTTGAGACTTTTAGCTGTAGTAAGTCTATGCATCTTAGATTTCTTATGCTGCTTGTATTTCACATGAAATCGAAAGGGTTTGAAGATGTTTTCGTTGTTTCCAAGCATCAATTATTGCAAAACTTAGCGACCCATTTGCTTATTTTCTCCAATTTTTCCTTCTTTTGGATTGTGATTTGTTCGAATGCAGAAAGATTTGTATTTTGTAATGTGGGTTTTGAGTTTTGTTCAAAAATATGATCCCAACCCTTTATTCCATGTTTGTTTTAAAATTTATCTGATTTATAGAAC